ATTTATCAAGTTCATTTACTTGTATGTATATTCAAAAGAACTTTAAGTGAGCTTTATACAGGCTTTTTTTTTTTTTTTGCATTTTAGCTTGATTTTGGAAGATTTTTCCGACTGGAAAGTAAATATGTTTAGATACATAAGTGAATTCATTTGGCACCTGTCTGATTTGTTATGGTCTATTTATAATCTTTGCTATTTCAATATTAACATTAGTTAATGGATCTCACTCACATATAAAAACAGGAACCTCAGTATGCGTTTATGTGTCAATATGTACAAAACATTGCCATTCTCTGGATTGATCACAGGCAGGCGATGTATGCGGCTGTGTATGAGAATTTTGATGGCATCATAGAGGGAGGCGTCCGGTCCGATGCTGACCAGTGGCATCACCTGGTTATGTAGCACACCTGCAAATTAGAAATAGTTCGAAAGTAAATAAATGAATATATACAGGCGAGTAGTAATATGACTAATGAATACTGACTGCGCCACGTGTCCAGTTTGTGCTCCTCCAGCTGCTCCATGGACGCGTTGGGTGACTTATAATACATTTGCAAGATCTTTATAAAGTCTGTGATGGTCAGCATGCCCACAAACTGTTGCTTCTCGGAGTCCCAGAGCGGGGCCGCACGCACGCCATTGTAGACCAGCGCATAGAAGGCCTTCTTCACCAGCAGCTGGGTGTCGAAGACGACCAATTTAGCGGAGGTGGGTATCAGATCATAGCACTTGTGAAAACGAAAGAACTTGACAAAGATCTGTGAATCGTCCTCCTCTGTAAAGAAGAAAGGAAAGCATGTGTTAAAATGGATTTACTTTAAGCTCGATCTAATTCATTGGCAATTCTAKACTACGCTYGGCACCTTTCTTGAGCAGCTGAGCGAGCAGACGCTTCCAGGCATCGGAGATCTGTTCGAACTCCTTAATGCTCTCCAATGGATAGCAGAGCACATCACTGGGTCGACCGCTGCCGCCGAGCACCAAGCGGCCCGCATGATTCGAATAGAAATGCAGCTGTAACATRCGAGGAGGAGCTGGGCTTTGGGGGCTATCGGGTGGCTTGAATTGAGCCACGGCGAGGCACCATCAGCTCAATGGAGGCACTGCCAATTGACTGGAGCACTCACGCACGCACACACTGAATCGATTTTGTTTAGCAACGCTAATTGAATGTTCAATTGAGCGTTAACAGCGGCTTAACAGCGACGCGCCCTTCCAAGCGCTTCTCACTGTTATCGATACGTAAAACAAATGCACCAAATTCTAAATATTTATTTATCGTATCGTATTCTATTTGCTCTACAATTTAGCAACAGCGACAACAACAGATCTTGATATATACGGATATATATACGTACATATGTATTTACTATATAGATGTATGTAAGCTGGCCAYAAATTTGTTTTCTGTCTGCATTTCAATAAATTACATTTAGACATTTTAATTAACATAAATTTAGCATTGCAATAAAAGCGAGAGCCGAAAATATAGCAAATTGACGAGCCGCTAGCTCCTACAGATAGATCCTACAATTTCTGCGGACTRAAAATTCATTTAATCAAAATAATTGTCTACGGCCATTTCACGCAATTGCCACCAGTGGGGAGACCCTTCCCTATGCAACGGGCGACATGCTCTATGAGAACGAATAAACATT